AGAGATCACGAGTAAAGTATTGACGTATCTACAAACAGTCATTTCAAGCTGAAGGTAAGTAAAAGCGGTATTTAAACATGTTCTACCAGCCAAGTCTAACTCTTACTCTCCAGTGTCATGGGCATATTCGAAAGGGTCATACAGTTGAGTCAGTAATCGAAAGTGAGGCTTAGCGTTTTTCTGCGCGGCTCTAGAGATCTTGAACGGATAGTCGCAAAACGGATTACCCTCACAGGCTCCGACGAAGGCTATCACCGAAACGTTAGCCGCGAAGTCAACAACGATTTAGAAATTCCCATGTATGGCTCAATCAAAAAACAAAGATATTCTATGTCTAAAATGCATCACACTTCATTGGCATGATATTTCTCTTTTCGTAGAAGTTCCACCAAAAAGCACTTTGCAACTTACACATGAGTTCAAAATAAATGGATTAATGCGGTTCTCTGTTGTTGTCAGATTTCACTGCGTGCTACTATAGTAGACAGCGCTCGTTGAAGTACTTGAAAACTATGTCAGTCATCTAGCGAAGCTTGAACTGTTTTTATCCACCGCATCGTTCAGAGCAGATCCTAACGAATACGTAGACAATGAAGTTGGTGAATCTCCAGAGGAACGACAGGCACTATTGGAAGAGATGAAAGCCGAGTACGTAAATCTTCTCGATAAGGAGAAGCCAGACCTTATCTTTGTCCAGGTGTTTGCTTTGCATATATTATTGTTAGTTTACAAAACTTCACCTTTCTAGAATGAAACAGACGCTGTTGATGGGAACACACTTGAAAATCTTTTACGCAGGCACGGGCCCTTCCCTTTGGAAGAACACATAGCAGCAAGAATTTTGAGAAGTACGTGTCTTGGTTGAAATGCCTCTAAAGAGGATTTAAAACAGACGTCAGCTCCGCTGTCATGTTTCTGCACAGCCGCGAGGTGGTCCACGGTGGACTCGACTTCAACTCAGTTGTTGTCGATTCTCATTTCAACGCGAAAACGATTATAACCCCGTCCATTTATCGCGCAAAACGTTCTTCTTTGGGGTGAGAGTTAAGCGCTGTATAAAAATCAAAAAAAAA